CTCTCTCTCTCTCTCTCTCTCTCTCTCTCTCTCTCTCTCTCTCTCTCTGTCTCTCTGTCTCTCTGTCTGTCTCTCTCTCTTCTCTCACCAGGAATGTTCCGAGCGTCTTTCCCATCACCATGTAGAAGAGATCGTGCGCGGCGGCGCTGGCGACCATGAAGAAGTCTGTGAGGAAGAGGTACTCGCGGCAGCAGTTGTCCAGCAGCGCGTAGTGCATGCTCCTGAACAGCGCCTCGTACGCAAACTGAAGCGAGATGGAGAGTCAGATCACAGGCACTGTCACAACACACCCTCGCGACTAGCTCGCAAACAGTACTAGTGACTCGTACGCGTACTGAAGCGAGACGGAGAGGTCACGTCAACCATCGAGCACCAAGAAGTACCTACACCCTTGCGACTAGCTTGAACTACTGAAGCGAGACGGAGAGTCCGACAACACACCCTCGCGACTAGCTTGGCCCTACCTTCCACCATGCACTACCCTTGTGATCAGCCTTGAATGCGTACTGAAGCGAGACGGAGGATCACATAGCAAGCACCATCCCACAACACACTCTCGCGACTAGCTTGGCCCTACCCTCGACCGTGCACAACCCTTGTGATCAGCTCAGAGTTTGGCCCGATCTCGAAACAATCTGTCCCAGAGCGTAGCCAGACCACAAAGCTATTGCAATGTCCAGCCTTAGCTATACCTCAAAAGTAATTGCCATGCTTGACTTTAGCCTTGCCTTAATTAGTGCTTGACCTTAGGACGACCTCGAAGCAATTAACGACACTGTTTAACGTGCAACCCTGAACAACCCCGCGACTACGTCGCTGGCCTTTTTTTACTGAAGGTGAGCTTATATTCTCACTTTTACCAACGTGCCATCATAAAACCATTAAACATAAATAATGATAATAATAATAATAATAATAATAATAGCAACAACAACAACAATAAGAATAATATTAATAATAACAACAATAATAATAACAATAGTAAATCTCGCCCCTCCCCCACCTTTCTGTCAGACTTCTGCGCGGCGTGCGGCACGATGATCGAAGCCTCCAGCTCGCTCGTGAGGATGTTGCCGCGGCTACTCAGCGTGAAGATCGTCGAGCGCTGCTTCAGCTGCGGCTTCGATGAAAAGAGGCCGCGCTTCGCCGTGTCCTCGACGCCCATCAGGTCCTCCTTGTCGGCGACGTCCTCGTACTGCGCAGGGGTAGAAATTAACTTTTGAACAAGCGAGTCCCTGCCCTCAAAAAAAGGGAGTGCGCCGCAAAATAAGGGATTCCGCAGTCTGAAGTTCAAAACTAAAGATATTAACAAAAAGGACATCTGCAATGCACGTCTGCCAAATTTGCTTCGGACATTTGCTAAAAAAATACGGTAATTTCGCGCGGCCATGCTCTGGAACGACCTAGTTAGTATATCATAATTTTCAGGGAGTCACGCGGACTCTTGCTTATGTGAAAGCAAGGAGTCCGACAGTAAATCAGGGAATATTTGACTCCGGACTCGCGTTAATTTCGCACCCTGCTGCGGGTAGGAGGAGGAGGAGAAGTTACCGCGCCGACGAGGACGCTCGCACACACGAGGATGCTGACTAACAGAGAACAGAGAGCGCCCTCTCAACATACACATATGCAGATGCAGACGTAGACTCAGACATAGATGCAGACGCACGCATGCATGCACGCACACACACACCAATTGACCCAAACACAGACACACGCACGCATGCACGCACACACACACCAATTGACCCAAACACAGACACACGCAAGCACGCACGCACGCACACACATACACATACGGCGATGTAGACACACAGACACAGACACAAACACACACACACACATAGACAAGATGGACACACGCATGCACGCACGCACCCACGCACGCATACGGCGGTGTAGACACAGACACACACACATAGACAGACACAGACATAGAAAACGAGACTACGACACGGACGCAGACACACGCCGACCTGCAGCTTCATGATCCTGTTGCTGTAGCTGCGGAAGTAGGAGTAATAGATCTTGCTCATCGTGTCTACATACTCATCGCGAACCTCCTTCGCTACGTGTCTCTCATTCGCCAGCAGAAACTCATAGAAGAATCTGCGAAACAAACAAACGAACTATCTAATAAAAATGCACAACAATGCATGCCTGCGATCGCTCATCTCTCTATAGAGTCCTCTATATATTATGTCTCCTACTGCTATGTTTCTATCATGCATTCCTACTATTGCTTGTTTACACTCATAAAGGGCCCTCTCTCTATATATATTATATATATATATATATATATATTATGGCTTCTCTATTGTGTTCCTTTTATGTATGCCTGCTATTGCTTGTCTATCATGCTCATATAGGTCCAACTGTGTACATGTGCTATGGCTTGTCTACCATCTTTCTATGAATGCCTAGCACGTATGCTTCTTACGGCTTGCAAACTACGTCCATGCTATTTATGCTTCTCATCACGCCACTCATGCCTCCCACGTCTTGTCTATCTTATTTACATAGTACTATTTACATGTACTATGTACATGTACATGTGCTCTACCATCTTTCTATGAATGCCTAGCATGTATGTATGCTTTATGCATGCTTCTTACGGCTTCTGAGCTACTTCCACGAGAGCCAGCTCTATTTACGCTTCCTATCCTGCCACTCATGCCTCCCACGGCCTTTCCGCCGCGCTTCGACAGGCCCCGTCGCATTCCCAAGTTTTCGCCGAGAGAGCTGTCGCATAAACCTCCGTTCGCTAACGACACAACCTCCATTCGCTAACGACGCAACCTCCATTCGCTAACGATGTGTGCGAGGCGAGAGTGATCACCTGAACTTGAGCATGGCGTTCTGCGGCACCTGATAGTTGGTCATCGGCTTGCGAAACTGATAGATCCTCAGCAGCAGGAACTCGCGAATCTTCGCTATGGCCTTGATCTTCAGCTTCTCCAGCACGTCCTAGCGAGCGAAACAGTAAACATGGCAGCGCGTTCACTGGCAACTACATTAGTTCCTGCATTACACGTCCTAGCACAAAGTTCGACGTTTTTACAGTGGCAAGCGTGTTTACTGGCAACTACATTAGTTCCTGCATTACACGTCCTAGCACAAAGTTCGACGTTTTTACAGTGGCAAGCAAATTTACTGGCAACTACATTAGTATTAGGAGCAAAATGGAAAAATGAGCATCAAGTTATAAAATCGTTTTTTATTTTTTTTATGGTAACAGACAACCGTTTACATTACACATTCCCGCAATGACAGCTTTTAAGGAAAGTTCGTGGGAATCGTCGAAAAGCTCAAAAAACGAGAGGTTTTTTTCGCCAGTGTTTTCTCGAGATCTGCTGCGACGCGAAATGCAGAGACTTCGCTCCCACGAACAGGATTTACTCGCTCGACGATGGTCGAATTTACCTTCACGTCTAGCGCCGACTTGGAATCGTGGAACGACTGCTCTTTGACGAAGTTGATTTTGTGGTTCAGCTCGTGCAGTTGTTCAAGGAAATTTCGCTCTGTGACAGGAACGTCTAATATGGTGCTACAAAACACACGTACGTGCATAGAGAGCACAATTAGCTGCAGTCAGTGACAATAGGTATTTGCAGGATGCACACATCACGTATTCTCGTACGAGCTGGTAACTTGATGCATTTGCTATCACTTTGGTCGCAAACAGCCATTGCTTACAGATTTACAAGTATATGTGACTACTGTCGACACAAAATGGTTTACTGAGAGAGTTTATTTCGATGTCTTTACCTCGATCTAACGTGGTGTTAATTTAGGTGCATTCCTGTGGAAACATGTGTAGCTACATGTGACAACTCATCTCTGTTTAAACACTGCAGGTACTATAGTTTCACGTTTACTGTTGTTGAAATGTGCACAAAAAAGTGCCGACTCATAATAAAAAATAAAAAAAACTGTATCTAGAGTAACTCTCTACTCCTACAATGGTAATACATACTTTATCATGAAATCAGGAACAACAATCTCATGGACGAATTGGCTTAGCTCTCCTCTTACGCTCTGCAACGTGAAAAAATACGATAACACACAAATCACATCATTGTATGCTAGCTGATAACCACACAATAATATAACGTCATTGTAGAAAGGGGTTAAATGAATCAGTGATCCATTCATACAACAATCGGGAGTAATTAGAATTTAGTCCTGATTTGGCACCGAGATCAAACGTCTGCATATCCTATAACACATGACTATTTTATGGAGCTAATTAAGATGATAATTAAGGAATCTTGGTGATACTACCAATATAAAACAAAGGTTTGGCTCATCAACGACCCAACAGACAGTTAGCAGACGTGGACCACAGCATTCATCGCCTACCTGTCTATTCTTCAGCTTTACGTTCATGGCTATCGACTGCTCCTGTAGCGTCTGTATCTCGTCGCTGATGCTGCTCAGGTCTGTCTGGAAACCACTCAGCATTTGCTCCATTCTCTGCCAACAAACAACATATGTTTATATGTTATATGTTAACATGTGATATGTCAGAACGTAGAGAGCTGTACAAGGTAAAGGGTAGCTAGTACTGTAAGCTGGGCTAAAAGTAAAAAAAAAGAGTAAAAGTAAAAAGTAAACGTATGGTAATGTCACGATAAATACTAGACTAAACATCTATATTTACATGAGGAGCGCAGTAATGATGCAAGTGTTGCAATGCTTGGAATAATTGCAATAAGCTCGTTTATTAATTACTGTTCTCTGACTATGGATATTAGAGCTGACTGCATGATAAAATAGCAATAAGTACAAAGCCACAAATTACATGCCCAATGCATACACACACTGGCTAAGGTAATCCGCCAGGAGCGAATAAAGACAAATTTTGTACTTGTTCACTTGTGATACCACATACATAAACATGAGGGATGCACATATTCCTGACCCCTCCCACCTTTACTGTCACTACTACACCTAATGAAATATAACACTGTTACCAAGCTAGGGGAACTTTCTTAAGCTAAAGGTTCCTAATCATACATAACTATACATACAAGAAGTCAAGAACATACACATATATATATATATATATTAATATATACAGGCACAGTGTTCATACCTCAAGAATAGAATCACAAGCTGTGATCTGATTGTGCAAGCTGGCAATGTTTTGACTTTCCTTGATATCTATCAAAGTGCGCTGATTTAAGGAAACCTACGTGCGATTAAATCTTAGCCTGACCGACTGCATCTTCCGACTGCATCGATAATACAGTGGACCCCCGAGTTAGGAATTTAATTCGTTCCACAGATTTGTTCGTATCTCCAAAAATTCGTATCTCGAACCTTATATAGGACGTACAGCAATTTACGTACAGCAAGTGCAATCATGAAAGCACAACCACATTCAATGAGTCACGAACTTAAACTGACTCACCAAAAGATGAACTGTACTACCATGTCACTGACCACACTATTATATTACACAATTTACAATATTAAAAAAAATGACTAACCACCCTTGTATGCCACCTATTATACTAAATCACTTTCCACACCACATCTACATCTATCTATGCTGCAGTTAAATATTCTGGATACAGTCTTGTATTGAAGCATTCTCAACTTGTAGAAGTTCAGATTCAATTTCTCTAGAATACTGCCTAAGGTCGACACCCTGCAAGAACACAAATACGAATATATTAATAGAAATAAAACAAGGGTTCATGATGTGAGGCAATAAATTCCCTTTACAAATCAGTAATTGTTAATGTAGACTTTACACTCTCATAACATCGAGTCTTAACACCTAGGTCTTGACCTTAATTGATTCATGGAGCCAAATTAAAAATGCAATCTAATTGATATTAAAATTACATTTAAAAGCAACTAAAACATTGTGTATAATTATTTCACATGATTACATGTGATAACTTACAGTTTTCAATGCCTCTTTTACTAGTTCATCTTCAAGGTTTTCTTGAATGTGCACTAAAATAATCAATCAAACATGTAAGTACAAGAATCAGTCATCAGAGTACCAGTTTTTCCACATCACTATATATAGACAATCAAGCTCACCCTTTAATTTTGTGTTTGTTTATATTCAGGATAGGTTTGCCAACGGTCAAATTGCACTGAAGCGAGAAGTGAGAACTCTCACTCTTTCCATTGCGACCTTCAGTCTTCTCAATTATTTTTTTGAACTACCCAGAACTTTTACTCAGTGCGTGAACCCCTGATATTCTGCGGGCGTGCTATATGAACTAGCTGCTATGTTGTGTAGGTAAAATCAAGTGTAGGTAATATCAGCATGCCATCTCTCGAGTAGAGCAGTCCCAGGGCTAAGACAATGTAGAGCAAAGAATTCTGTGATCAGGCATATATCATCTCCGAAGATACGCCCTGGTGACAACAGCTGTTGCCGAAACAAATGCATTGCAATTAATTTCGGACAATTCTAAATTGCATTCACTTCACCCATTGATTGTCCCCACAGCATCACTAGGCAGATGACATCATGCTGATATCACAGACTAGCTAATCACTGCTCACAGGGTCCATGTCCCCCAAGGTACTGCCGGAACGTACCCTGGGTACGGTCCGGTATACCGGAACGTACCCTGGTAACTATCTGATATGGTTAGGGTTAGGGTTAGGGTTAAGGTTAGGGAGTAGGCATAGGCGACTCCCTAGACTCGTTAGTGGAGTAGGCGAGGTACGGTCCGGCATATTAGATAGTACTTACCAGGGTACGTTCCGGTATACCGTACCGTACCCAGGGTACGTTCCGGCAGAACCCTGGGGGACATATAGACTCTCTCAGTCGTAATACCACATGCGTCTATACAGAAGAATTGCTCCAACCTGTGATTGGAGGATGAAAATAGACCCCGCCCACTCCCGCCGCATACGCTATGCTATGACGGGTAGGAACGTGTACTAACTATCATATGGAGCGAACGATTTGAGTTACATTTCTATAAATTCTAGCTATTATAGACACATGTCTTAGCCTTAATCTCAGTGAATTTTGAGTCTATTGAAGCGCGATTAGTCTAATTAATTAGCAAATATGCACGCGCGGCTATGACCGGTGAAACGAAACGTCACGAATTCTATTTTTATCCTCCAAAAATGGAAAAGTGGGCGGGGTCTATTTTTATCCTCCAATCACAGGTCGGAGCAATTCCTCTGTTTAGACGCATGTGTAATACCGAGTGTGGACGCTACAGTTACAATATATTGTCTACGTGACAGAGCAAGCTATTCTCCATAAACATTTGGGCCCAAGGATAGAGAACATGGGTCACAATAAAACCAATGTGCCTAACCCTAACCCTAATTCTAACCCTAACCCTAATCCTAACCCTAACCCTAACCATAACCATAACCCTAACCTATTATATTGATATAATATTATATTTATATTGATGTAAATGACATTGGTTTTATTGGGACCCATGTTCTCTATCCTTGAACCAACATTTGTGTGAATTATGGTGCTTACTATCCACAGCATCAAGGACGTTATCCTCAGACACCATATCAAAACGATGAACATTAGTGTCTTGCATATCACCACCCTGAAATTATGAAACAAAATATTAATGGCATTTTTTTCAATTGATTATTATAACTTAAAACTTAAACTTATAACATAAGCATTAAATTAATGTCAGATGATCAAGTGTCAGTGACACAGTGACAGTGGCAGAGTAATTACATTGTTATTGCAAATATTTAATATGGGACGTGTCACTGCCAGTACAAACGAGTTCATATTTTACCTCTCCAAGATATAACATAGTCTGCATTGCTAACAGTGTTGCTGCGCCCTGTGTCTACGAAATTCCAATACTTCTTGGGGTTTACCTGTGAATAATAATAGTTTACCTCAGCTGGCATATTTTCATCGACCTCCATAATGAGATTGCAGCGCCATCTACATGTGCTGTACTGAACATCAGCTACAAAACTTCCATGCCTTTCGACTTGCTAACATTTATGTAGTAAGAGATTTTTGAACTGATTTTGAAATTTTGAACATCAAAACGCGAATAACCACAACACAGAGATAATAACATTTTTGTGCAAAATAAAGTAAACTAATAAAACTAATGCAGTACGCGACACGATCGCCGACCGAAAGCAAGGTACATAGAAATACATACATACAAGAGCAGATAAAGAAGGAGCTTCTTTATCTGCTCTTGATACATATTATCAGGAGTAGATAATAGGGAATCCCTATTATCTACTCCTGATATTATACGTATATGTATGCATTTCTGTAGATACAATAATGTAACCCAACAAGAGTAGGGGTAGCCCTACTCTTGTTGGGTTACATTATTGTATCTAGCATTTCTGTAGCAAGGTAATTGCATGTGCATGTCACTCGGTGTCGGGGGGACTCGGGGCTCTCTCTATTATATTATGTCAAGGAGGCGGTATGGTCCTTATTTCTTAAAGAAAACTACGACGTATTTCCTATTTTTTAAACAAACAAAAAACAAACATTTTTAGCAGATAGTAGGCATACGCACAGACACATGCGACCATATATTGTATCGCACGTTATAATGAGGTTTGGGAGATTTGCCTCTTTATAATTAATAAAATTAGGTAGTGGGATAGATAGTTTCATCCAAAACTATACTCCCGAGAATGTTTTCTCTATAGGTGCTTATAATGGACAAAAATATATGCCTACGTAACTATATTCAATGAGTATAGAAGTAAATCCACCCTACGATACTACCGTATCACTATGTTTCGGTAAAGTTACCATGCATGTATTTCCTGACCTTTCAAGAAGTTATGTTCTAGCCATAGTCCTAGCACAACAGTTTCCTCTTCGGCGGGAAACGGCGCAAAACATTTGTTTGCGGCTTCTTTGTTATTGAGCCGTATTTATCATTTCTTTTCCTAGTAGGCCCCTATGTATATTCTCATGTAATGTATAGTAGAACAACGAATTCATAATATGTTCGCAATTCCCTGTTCAAATTCCGACTAGAATTAAGGCGCAAGTCATACCCACTCGGTAACAATATTAAAGCAGAATGAAGATAAACTTGAAACAGATCGACCACGCACTACGTCAAGTCGAATTTGCGAGCGCTATTTGCAAGTGCAATTTACAAGTGCAATTTGTCATCCAGTCATTATCCACACAGTATGCTCAACGACCAACCATTGTTTACCGATCGTAACAGAATAGCATCGCCATCGAAATCGCGTAGCAAAATCTGAATTAAATTTTGATTCGCGCAAATACTGCTAAACGCCCATTTGAGGTGAATGGCGAGTTTGCAAATAGATGGACATATTATATTGCACCGGCACCGTAGGAGACGAGTTTTATTTGCTACAAGGACCACAATGTAAATAAGTGTGCTAGTCGTGCTTTTTGTGTATATATCCTTGGTAGTTATCCAATTTTAAGAATTCATAATTTTATTGTAAAAGTAAAAATGTATTGTATATGATGGATAATTGCCTAAATAAATAAATAAAAATAAAAAATAAAAATCAATAAAGCGCTATTAGTAATTTGTTTAACTCTGATCTTATGTATAGAACATCTACGCATAAAATTATGGTTTATACGCGCTCGTAGTTCCAACTAACTACCAATAATCACCATTATATATATATATATA